TATATATATATATATATATATATATATATATATATATATATATATATTATCAGTGTTTCACCTACTATTATCCAAGGTGGGTGCCCTGCCTACTGAATTGCCACCCCCCTCTTGACAACTGCCGGCATTGACGTAGCGCTAAGCTAGCTGTGCACAATACATACGCACTAGCTAATAATCTACAGAGGTAGCGCTCCGTCTCCTTCACGCTGAGCTGACCGCCCCCCCCCAATGTAAAACTGTCAGCTCAAACAGTGCGCAACACAAGCTTTTGGTGCAAACTTTAAAACTATTCAAATCCTTTTCTTAAAATGTTGAAAGGATTTTCACCTGCATCGCCTGCTCGACCCACTTATTAGTCAAAATTCAGAAATATCCACCTAAAGCAGAGGGAAGAGCTAACTTGATTTATCTCCTGTTGGCGAGCTTCTAACCATTTTTTAAACTTAACTAGATTGGCATTTTGCCTAAACTTTAACAGAATACAAATTTGTATTTTAGAGCCCCACTTTTTATTCTTGTCACTTACAGAGAAGATAAACGATAAGATTTATAGTGGCCTATCCTTAGTGCTCCGTTTTGCCTTAGCGTAAAGAAGTCTTTTTTTATTTTTGCTTTACATTCACTAACCTTTACAAACATGTCTAAATGGTCTTTATATGCTGGACTTCTAGCCTGAAGGGTAATGGACTAAATATGAAGCTCTTCTAGCATAATTTTTCATTCACGTCAATAGAAACTTATGCAAGGGACAAAATCAAGACTCTACCTCCTGTTGCTTTGAAGCTTCATTGAACTCGTTCACACATCCATAAAAATATTTTGGGAGTAAGAGAAAAAAAAAAATCACAATCTTATTTTTTATAGTTCTACATTATTAGATAAAAAAGTGTAGCATCACAGTTGTATCGTCTTTTTATTTCTTTATTGGCACAAAAATAACATTTAACTGCAACTAATGTAAACAAGGTGTTTTTCAGACTTATTTTTTTCTGAAGCTGTTCACAGAATAAGTTATCTTGTTACTATAATTAGTTCTAATCAAAGTTAAGCTTTTTTTAATGCTCTAACCCCGTCTTGTTTTTTAGTAATGGATGTCACGGACATAATAACGGGCAAAATGGACGACGAGGACAAGCAACACTTCATCCCATTTCAGTCGTAAGTGCATTGTGTCAGAGCACAAAACAAAATAAAAATTTCTGCACTTTTTTTTTTTTAAAGGTTAATATCTTTGACACCACATTTATGGGGATTGTAAAACAGTAGTTCTTGCCTATTCCCCCATGACTCAATTAAGGCAACCTCATTACCTGCCACCATTTTTTCGTGAGTCAGAACAACCTTTTTCCTTAATGCGATTTCCTGCATAATTGAAAATGCTTCACAGTCAAGTAGTTGAGCTGGCAGATAGCCTCACCTAAAGGTTTTATCTGCGCACATAAGTAATGGAAATTAGAGCCATTCATTGTGAGGAGAACAGTTTCTACAAGGGGTTATTTATGACCAAATGTGATCATTAGTCACTAAAAAACTCAGTAAGTTTAAAAAAAACGTTGGTTTCATAATTCAATATTGCATGTGTTAAAGCCTACCAAAGCAACAAGTGAAAGAGCCATTAGGAGAATTTCACGGGTTCCAGTCATCCAAACAGAAATGTATAACTTTTAGAAATTTACTTTATAGATGAAAATCCTGTAGACACAGTTGTTTTCCTAAACAATCTTTAACTAACAATCTAAGGCTGAGACGTCAAAATTAAGTAACACACAAAAAACATTTAATGCTGTGATAAAAAGATCAAGCATGAAAACATTTTAGTCAATATTCTCAGATTTAAGGATTTAACTTCTTTCGTTTAATGTAATTCCTGTCAGCAAACCAGTACAACGCAGATGTTCCCTCTAGGACGTTCTAAATAATCTTGGTTAAATTTTGTATTTTACATTTCAATTAACACTTTAAATAAATTAACCCAACATTGCATTTCAATAGAGCAATACATTCTGCTACTTTGTCTGTTTTATTTTTGCACCTATCAGTATAAAACTGATACAGACACTTGAGGGAACATCTGCGTTGTATTTGTAAATTGTTTTGCTTTATAAATATTATTTTGTTCTTGTTTTTTTCCCGACTTTAATTATTTTGGGGATCAAGGCTGGAGGCAATAAAGACAGTTTGATGTATTGATTATATGGAGGCATCCATCAGCTTAAAATTCAAGTTCCTCACGTTGCAAGCACACTTCAGCTCAAGCCATCAGAGGTTACGTTGATTGAATGATGATTGACTTCATAGTTAAGCTAAGACATCGCTGGTGCAACTTTTAATAGTGTTTTGCACGAGACTATCTTCTGCAGAAAGAGTGAGAAGAAAAATACCACAAACCACGTACAGACGTTTTGGTTCATCGCACAACTGTAGCTGCATTTAGTTTATGACTCTTTGTTTTTAGAATCGTTCTATTTTTGGCCTTCTACTGATGAAATTAGCTGTCAGCTGGTGTAGATATTCATGGTTTATAGTCCATCTGCGCTGGTTGCATACCTTTACTTTAAGGAACTGAAGTACCGTTGACTGCAAACTTCATTTAAACATATTCCAGGGTTAAACGGTTGTTAATTTTCTGTGGAGACCAATGACAAAAGGAGCAGCCAGAAAAAAAAAAAAAAAAATTACCAATTTATTTTCTGAATTGTATTTTTTAAGGATCTTATGATTTACGTGTATCTTCTCTGTGTATCATGCATTTTTTTTGTAACAGCTGCCACTCTGCATTGCTCTCCAGATAACATCGGCTCTTCTCTTATCTTCAGCATGTTAGTTGTTTATAAAAATTGTTTACTTACTCGACATGAAGCCTTAGGAAGTATAAACCACTCAGCATTGTGAAATTAACTTCCAGGCATTCTTTTAAGTCTTAAGTTTTGCTGTTTCTGAATATTACATCACAATGAGAAAACACTTCAAGACCAACAGAGAGTCGAGCTTTTCACCCGTTGAGTGGCTCTTTGGATTCTAACCAGGCCTCATTTCCTAAATGATGATTTTTCTGCCTCTTTTGTTGCCCATCCTACTCACTTTTAACTGCTAACAAGTGGCTTTTGTCTTTGTCATAGTATTTGCATCACTCCTTGGTGTCTCTTTCTCCCACATTTCCCCTTTTTTTTATCTCACTCCCTTCCTCACAACCATCAATGTGTGTCCCTTCCCTCTCTACCTCCATTTCTGCCATCTTTTTTGTCCCTGTGGTGTTTGCCTGTTTTGTGCGTACTGCAGGCTAGCGTTGGATGACGCCATTCACCATAAGCAGCTGAACATCTCCCGTTTTTCACCCAGGGTGACGGGGGAGAACGACTTCCTCCAGACAGTCATCGCTAAAGTTATCACCGCCAAAGAAGTCAATCACAAAGGCCAAGGTACAGAATCACACGGGGCATAAGACCCATGAAGAAACTCATCACTCTGCTGCACTCAGCTTAATTAGGTTGCTAACACTGTATGATTACGCATATAAAGCCGGAGAAGTCCCTCGATTATCGCGGGGGTTACGTTCCAGACACCCCTGCGATAAGTGAAAAACCGAGAACTAGGAATGCTATATTTATTTTAGTATGTATATATTTTAAGGCTTTATAAACCCTTCCCACGTACTTGCAATGTTCTAAACACTTAAACCTTTGTCATTTTTAACAACATACGTATATGTACTGTACAGTTGCTACTGCAAAATTTTATATGGGTACTCACCATCCTTGGTCCGGTTCTGATTGGCTCTCTGCAGCCGTTGAGCACCAAGACACTTTTAGAGAGAGCCGGACCTTCTGAGAACCAGCACAAAACCACATAATGGTCCCGATACAGTCCAGAGGGATCCAGATGAAAAAAGGTCGGGTGAGCTCAGAGAAGACACTGGACATCCAAACAACGCCTCCCCGCTCGAGAGGCCTCATAGGCCGGCAAGCAGACCTCAGATTGACCGATGAGGCTGGAAGTAGTCCTGGTCCATATCCCTGTAGGTTCCCTACGACTCTGCATCCACTGAGCACCCAAGTCACTATGAATAAGGGCTGAATTTTTTAGTCGGGTTCGGATTGGATCAAAACTTTTCCTCTGTTTTGGCAGAAAACTTCGTCCAGAAGTACTGTTGGCTTCTGGGTAGTGTAGTTCTTTTTTTGACTGGTGATGCAGTGTAGGCTTATTGAAAGAAAACTACAAAAGGGCAGCGCCTGTCCAAAGTAGGTATGTGCGATATGGCATAAAATTCATATCACGATATGTATTGTGATGGGTGGCGATAACGATATACAGTGAACCCTCGCTATAACACGGTTCACCTTTCACGGTCTCGCTGCTTCACGGATTTGTATCGTACATTGTGTTTTGCATTCTGATTGGCTAAACAGTCTCTCCAGTACAGTTGTTATTTGTAAAAAACGTTTATACAGTACTTTTATTTGTTAAACAAATGCTTGGGCCTGTAAAAAGGTTTTGTTCTTTGGTTTGAATGCATTATGGAGTATTTAATTGTATAATAATTGTAAAAAAGGTAAAGGTTACTACTTCACGGATTTCGCCTATCACGGGTTCTTTTTGGAACGTAACCCCAGTGAAAAACGAGGGTTTACTGTATATCACAATATAACTTTGGTATAAAACTTGCAATCGGAATGAAAAAAAAAACATAGGGTGTCATTTTGCCATCATTTAATTTGAAAACTGCTATACCGCAAAATAATCTCAATCAAGAAAATTCCACTTCTAGGTCCAGAGACATTTTAAATAACAAAACAAATGAAGTGTTAGGCTTCTTTCTTGTAGTGCAAAACAGTGCAAAATATATCAAATGTAGTTTTAGCCATATGTTTTAAACAAAAGAATATGTTAACTCTTAACAGTTTCCAGTTTTCTCACTTAAGAAATGAACGAGCAGTATGTTACATATAAAAAGTGCACACCGAAAACACTTAACAAAATTAATATTCAAAATCTCGTTATTTGTTAGAGTCTAAAGATAGTTGGCCATGAACACCAGCTTGTTCACAGTCTCTGGCTTTAACAGAGGCCGGTGGCATGAAACGATGTTTCCACCAATGCTAAGTGCCCTTTCTCAAGGAGCACTCGTGGCTGGAATGCAAAGGTATTTCTTGGCCAGCCTTAAAATTTTTGGAAAATTAGCCTGGTGCAGTCTCCACCTGTCCAGTGGGTCAGTGTCTGACAGACAAAGGTTTGGCTTCAAAATCAAAGCAGGGGTTCCTCCAGTGGGCGTCTCCTTCTGCTTTAAGGAGAGCTGACACAAAATGGCGACCAGTTTCCTCTGTGGCTTTGACCAAAGAGGGTCTCGCTGTAAATCATACAACACAGCATTCTTCTACAGATCAGAGAGCAGGTTTAACCTTTTTTATTTAGCACAAATGCACTCTGTAAAGCTGACCAACGCTGACTTTAACTTTCGACAAAAAACCCCCACAACTTTTGACGGGACACGTGTTTTGCTCATGCATCTGAATATGGCAACACTGTGGCAAGCCGGATGTATTTAGCGTGTAGCTTCGCTACTTAGCTCTCGAAGAAAACAGACTTTAACACAATTTACGCAGTTTTCAACTAAAACAAACATAACAGTTAAATCTGACAAATGATTTTACATTGGACACGGTACTGCGGTTAGCCGGTATAAGACAGATCTGTATCATAGGCTAAATGTCTATCGTTTCTACCGTGTACCGTATATCTCGCGCATTCCTAGTCCAAAATACTTTTTTGTTAACTTTTTATCCCATACTGTCCCAATCACGTGAGTAATATTAATGTAGACAATCATTGATAACCTGGGAAAGAGCGAGTCCACGAAAGTCGAACGTGAATTATCGAGGGACTACTGTATATAATGAGATCCCCTCTGAATCCTAAGAATTACATGAGTTAATGTTTACGAAGAATCTTGTCAATTGTCACCAACTTGACTCTTAATTAGCATCAGGCTAAACAGGGTAATCCTAAAACCACAACATTGAAGTAAAGAATATTCTTTTAGTAGACACTTCAGACCAACTAAAAGTGTGTTCTGTTTCACTGCATCTTGATTTATTTCTTCCTCTTCAATGTTTAGCTTGAAGCTGTGGCAGCCAGCAACACTGTGCAGGTGTGAGTAATACAAAAAACAAGTGTTCAGCTCCGGTCCTGCCTCGTGCCTCTGCTTTCTCCGTTTGTTTCCTCATCTGTACCTGACTGTTCAACACTGAGTCACACAGGCACAACAGAGGCTGAAAATAGCTGTCACAAAGTTGTATCTGAGTGACGGGACGCTGAGCTGCCTTTGTTTAGCTGGTGTGAATTACCAAAGGAGAATGGTTTTAAACATAGCAAGCATCTGCTGCCAAGCTGAAACCTGTGTGTGAAAAAAAGACCAAAAAACCTTAACGTTATTTACAGATTGCTGACAAGCTTTTAAAAGTCAAAGGGTAAATATATATCTTTTGAATCTTCACACCCCGTGAGAAGGTGCTGCATCGTTGGATTAACTGTCTTTGTGTGTAATGTAGACAAACATGAAAAGGAAGAGAGGAAGGTTTGATTTGAACTAATTGTAGAGGATTTTATAATCCTTACACCATTGTCTGCCGTTTCTTCACTTTGTACCTCTTTGAGTCCAGACTTTGTTTTAAATGTTCAGCTAATAAAAGAAGAAACAAACAAACAAAATAAATACACAGGACATTGTTTCTGTCAAGTACTGCACAACTTACACTTTTATTGGGTCATAAAATTATCATAAGGTCCAAAATATTTGATTATAACTTGTTGTAAAACAACAAAAGTTGAGCAAAATGTTTTTACTTTAAGGTAAAACACAGAATAATTACCGTATTTTCCAGACTATAAGTCGCTCTGGAGTGTAGGTCGCATCAGTCAAAAAAACGCCTCATGAAGAGGAAAAAACTATATATAAATCGCTTTGGAGTATATCACATTTATTTAGTATTTCACAAAGTGCAAGAACAGATATTTAATCTGAAATAACAATAACACAGAACATACCTGGGATCCTGAACAGGCGTAATTAAGGGAAGGGAAGGCTGAGATTGTCATCCCATACAATGGCAAAATTAGTTCTCTGCATTTATTAATCAGCTGTATTTCAAAAGTGTTCACTGCCTCGGTTCTCCAGGAGCGTGCAGAGGGAGGAAATCACATTTCTTAAAAAATGTAACAAGATAAGCACCTAAAACAATTATTTGTTTGTTCGACATTATAGCAAAGGTGTGTCACAGTTGAACTTTTACTTAAAAAACAACTTTAATGGTCAAATTAGCTGCATTTCGCCAGGGCGGTGCAGCAAAATGAAGCTGATTTGACTGTTGCTCCAGGCGAGCTGGATGAAGGTGGCCGGTTATGTCAAGCCGATTGTGTCATTAACAACTGGCGAAGATTCTCAGTCATCCAGGACATGGTAATTTAAAAAAAGTTCAAGACAAAAATAATAAAGTAAAAAGTATAATAAATAAAGGTCCAGTTGTTTTTGTCTTGAACTTTTTTGAATTTGCCATTATAAGCACTTTTACCTATTACATGATACAACGGCATGCCCTACTACTCTGCTGGCAACTAATGGTTGAAAAATGGTTGTGTTCTTTTTTTTTCCCAGTCAAAATGAATGAAAACGGTCATATCTCTGCCAAATAAATGGTTTATAAATATGGGGAAAAAATCCATAAATATGTCTCTTCGGCCTATAAGTCGCAGGGCATGTAAAAGTATTCAAAAAATGTGACAAAACAAAAACATGACAAGTGAACGTGACTCAGAATGACACCCAGTAAAGTAATTTAGTGAATCTAGCAGAACTGTGTTGACTTTAAAACTGTAAGAAATCCAATGCAGAGTAACTGAAACATTGTTATAAACTGACATAAGCTTCAGCAAATTAAAACTATTTTCAATGATGTGGCCTTACTCTTCATTGAAATAAAAAAAAGGTTAAAACATTTGGAGAACATTCGTTCATTAAAAACAATAATACCATTTGGGGCCTTTTGAACCTCTGGGCTGTGGCTAATGTCTGATAAGCCCTTTGGAAAGTCCAGCCTTGGCAGTCATTAAGGTTAATTAAGGTAATAATTATGCTAGGCCTAGAAGCAGTTGACGTTACCCTAAGCCCAAATACCGGTACCTGTAATGTTGTAGATGCATTTTTAATCATCATCTTATAAACTGGAATATTTTGTCATTTATGTTTGTTGTTTTCTAACTTGTAAGATAAATACTGCTTCCTTTAGTTCTTCAATGCAGTAGTTACAATATAAAAAAGAAGACCGACTCAAAATCTTGCATTTTTCATTAAGTTTGCTCCATTTTTTTGCAGAACTCTTACAAGTAAAGTTCAACATTGTATTAAACTTGAAAAGAACATTGCACGTGAATTTTACTGTATTTTAAAAGCTCTAGTTTCAATTTCATTACAATCGGAAAGAGCAATAAAATTGTCCACATTCCTATTATAAAAATGATATTTGTTCTTTGCGCTTACATTTTTAATTACAGCTCATGCCAAAAATAGTTGCCCAGCGTTTCCATGACTACAATATCTCAGAAATTTCCCTGTAGGTCTTCGGTAAATGCAAACTGACTGAATAATTTTTCTTTGGCGGTTATAGGAGCGGTTTTGGCTGTCTCCTGGGAGGAGGGGGCGCCTCGTTACGGTCTCCGCGATATTTTCACGCCCAATAAAGATGCATAAATGTCAGGTCTGCTCCGACCCACGTTGGGGCGGAACAGAGGAAGTACCAGGAGCAACCGTTTCAGTCATGCTCGCATCGCAAACGGCCTCCAGCTCGGCTGCTAGGGAAGATATCCATCAGAACTAAACGGCATCTGGTCGACAAAAGCCTTTACTTGGTTATATGCACACCAAAATTTTAACAAAGCTACACATGCTTCTGTCCTAAATTGTAATATATTCCTAATCAAACCCCTTCTGGTAGATTCTATTTAGTGCCTCGCCCCAGAGCCATTCCATGGCACTCTGACAATCGCCAGTGGAAATCACAAGAAGAACTCAGTTTTTACAGTTTTCCTGGAGCACTTCTTCTTTGGTGCTGTCCTCTCATTATGTTATCTCTGTTCTCCCCCTCGCCCATCTTGATCGCATCACCAAGGCCTGTGGGTGACTCTGAAGCTGCTTCCCGGAGACATCCATCAGATAAGGAAGGACTTTCCTCACTTAGTGGATCGATCAACAGCCGTGGCTCGAAAAATGGGCTTCCCTGAGATCATTATGCCAGGTTGAGTATTTTAATAAAGCCTCCATTTAGCTTCATTAGTCTGAAAGCTTTCTTTAAAAAAAAATGTTGTTCAGTTTTTCCAATTTCAAAGGTTTAAGAAGCTACAGTGAGGAAAATGAGTATTTGAACACCCTGTGACTTTGCAAGTTCTCCCACTTAGAATTCATGGAGGGGCCTGAAGTTTTCGTCTTAGGTGCATGTCCACTGTGAGAGACATAATCTAAAAAAAATCCAGAAATCACAATGTATGATTTTTTAAAATAATTTATTTGTTTGTTACTGCTGTAAATAAGTATTTGAACACCTGCCAATCAGCAACAATTCTGGCCCTCAAAGACCAGTTAGTCCGCCTCTAAAAAAATCTACCTCCACTTATTATTCTAAATTAGAAGCACCTGTTTGAGGTGGTTAGCTGCATAAAGACACCTGTCCACCCCACACAATCAGTAAGACTCAACTACTAACATGACTAAGACCAAAGAGCTGTCCAAAGACACCAGAGACAAAATTGTAGACCTACACAAGGCTGGAAAGGGCTACGGGGCAATTGCCAAGCAGCTTGGTGAAAAAAGATCAACTGTTGGAGCAATTATTAGAAAATGGAAGACGCTAAACATGACTGTCAATCTCCCTCGGACTGGGGCTCCATGCAAGATCTCACCTCGTGACGTATCATTGATCCTAAGAAAGGTGAGGAATCAGCCCAGAACTACACGGGAGGAGCTGGTCAATGACCTGAAGAGAGCTGGCACCACTGTTTCCAAGGTTACTGTGGGTAATACACTAAGACGTCATAGTTTAAAATCATGCATGGCACAGAAGGTTCCCCTGCTTAAATCAGCACACGTCCAGGCCCGTCTTAAGTTTGCCCTTGACCCTTTGGATACCATACAATTTTATTTATAGAGCACTTAAAACAGCTACAAGGCCAACCAAAGTGCTGTACAGACAGAACAACAGACAACACACAAAGCAATATACAAAATGAAGTAAATCAAAAATATAGACATAAAAACGATGCAGATAATAAATATGACGACAAACCAGTGTGGAGCGTACAGGTTCAAAACACAGATCATCTGGTGTTGAAAGCTACTGAATAGTAGTGAGTTTTTAAACGGGGTTTGAAAACCGAGAGGGATGGGGGCCTGTCTGACGAGCAGAGGTAACTCGTTCCAAAGTCTTGGTCCTGCTACAGAGAAGGCCCTGTCCCCTCTGCGCTTAAGACGAGTTCCTGGAACTGTGAACGTGCAATTGATGATCCAGAGGAGTCATGGCAGAAAGTTTTGTGGTCATATGAGACCAAAATCAAACTAAGATGAAATTTTCAAACCCCTCCATGATTTCTAAGTGGCAGAACTTGCAAAGTCGCAGGGTGTTCAAATACTTATTTTCCTCTCTGTACATAAGGCTATAATTACGGTTTTGATAGGATAAATTATGTATTAGGCAGAGTCTATTGTGAATATTTGCTTTCTAATGACCACATACTCTAGAGCCAAAGAGTAGAAAGTATTTTTATATAAATATGTTTTTTTTTTTTTATCTTAAGGTGATGTCCGAAACGACATCTACGTGACTCTGATTCAGGGGGATTTCGACAAGGGGAACAAGACGACGCCCAAAAACGTTGAGGTGACCATGTCCGTTTATGATGAAGACGGCAAGAAGCTTGAGGTACGTCTGAGGGATGCTAACCTCACAGCGGGGTAGATTTGTCTGGTCTCAGCTCTTTCTCAGCATTCAGGACACAAGTGCTGTAACCAAGCGGTCTCTCCATCAGCCTTTGATTTATCCGTCTCTCTTTAATCTCACACAGCTCTGCGCTCTGCCTAACTGACCAGGACTCCCATAAAGTTGTGTTATACACCGGGTCATACTGTAAGCCTCAGCAACCTGTCAGCAATAATAAAATGGAGTATTGGTGCTTTGTGTTTGATTGAGTAGCTTCAAATTTAACCTTACCTGTATGAGAGTTCCCCTTTGTCATCGTAAGAGTTAGTTACAGAGTCAATCCTGTGGACGGACACCGTGGCTACTGTGAGAATCAGTCCCATTAAATAAGCATTTTTCTTCTTGTTAATTGCTTAAGCTAATGAAGTTAGCTGTCTTGTTGTTAGCAAACACACTAAATCATTAGCAGTTCTCAGTGCAGCAACCATATAATTATATTTTGGGAGGTGGCGAGTAAATATTGATATAATTTGAGCTCCAAAGCACATGTTGTTTTTGTTGATAGGAAATTCTGTCATCTAAAATTGCAGCTCCATAACATTTTTTTTCGACGCCTCCCAAAATAAAACTACACCATAACTATGCTAGCAAGTAAATAATCAATGTCGTGGCTGTCAATTTGCAAATTAAAGAATTAAAGAGCATGGAGAAAAAAACAGAAGTCTTTGTATAGGTTAGACTAATGGTTTGCCAAGCGAGAGCTGCGTTTTAGAGCGTTTAAAACATATAAAACCGCTCTTTCTCAAAGTCAATAACCGATGAAAATGAGGTCGATAATTTTAATTCATCATGCGATTAATTGATTTATTGTTTATCTCAACAGGCCTAGATGTTACCTCGAGAGGTTGCAACAGCAGCAAGGCAGGTTCTGCACGATACATGTTGTTGCGCAGCGTCTTCTTTTTTATAGCTAAAATAATCCCAAACAACGGACGTGCTGCTGCTCTTCGGCACCAAACTTTCAGAAGTATCAGCTTCTGTTGAGCCTGACGCCATTGTGCAACCGCTTAAGACTCAGTGTTGCCTTCTCCCGCTCCCTGCTCTGCTTTGCTCCACTCCGCTCACTCGCAAATCACGTAACCAGATCACATGACCAGTCAAATTGCAGCCTTTGCGATTAGAAAACCTTGTTCAACCCTAGTTCAGAAGAGAAAACAACAAACTGAACAAATGGTGGAAAGCAGGAGTAGAGATTTGTTAACTAATGTAGCGTTTGTTTATAACAAGTTTTTATAAGCCCGACAAACAATATAAATTGTCAGTTTATCTATTAGACTAACTTTGACAACAATTTTCCATTTTCTCCATCCTCCCAGCTCTACGCCTGAAGTCATAGTGCAGGGAGACACTCACTGTTGATAACTATTTGAGAGAACATAAAGTTAGAAATGACCAGACTATTTGTTTAACACAACATTTGGGAGGCTTTAATGTTATGTATTTGTGTTGGTACTTACAGTCCTCTTACACAGACTGTAAGTATTCTCTTACACATTATTCATCCTAAAGTATGATGTCTATCTGGAGTAGATGATGCTGGTGTGAAGTTGGTCTGTCTTTATAGAAGCAGCAAGTTTAAAGTTGTTGACGCTTTTGTGATCTTGTTTGCACATAATTAAAGCGCCTAATATAGTGGTGTAAGCACTTGTGTAATTGGAATCAGAGTAGATTTAGAAGTAATTTGAGATGACAGATTTCTGGTTGTAATGAGTCTTCCTGCAAACAGGGAATCTGTAGAGAGCTCTGTTACCCTTGGCTGCGTCAATTATACTCATTAGTCTTAAATTGAGAAGCTTTGTCAATGAATGAGCTCAGCAAGCTATGCAATGTAAAGATTGCTGGTGATTAAATATAAGAAAAGGACTTCGGATGTAGCGCAAATTAGTAACGAGTTTCGTTTGATACAGTAGGTTATCTGACTACGAAGTCGATATTTAGTTTTTGCGATACTCAATAAATAGGCTTATAGGTGTTTAGTCAGATGTTGTAGAACTTTTATTCAGTTCATCTGCAATTTTTTTTATTGATCCTACAAGCATATCAGAGAAGTTGGTCTGTAAATAAGAGTTCATGTCTTCTTTGCTGCTTTATTACAGGGGATGTCATAATTTCATGGAATTAGAACAGCGTGTCCTTTAAGACGATGTAAGAAGTCTGCTCAGCGATTGACCATCTGCACTGAGTGACGGATTTTATTTTTAATCCCCGTGTTGGTATGATCATTTAAATAAGGTTCGAGGTTCTTTATTGTTATTTGCATCACACGTGGTACATGAGGTGGAACAAAATTGTACCCGAGGTCCCAGTTACACCCAAAAATGGCAAAAATATAAAGTATAAAAAGAAATGGTATACAAGGATCTAAGATATATGCTAAACACTAATAATGTAAAATAATACAGTATATTAAACAGCAGCCTGAACATGAGTCTGTAGTGGGCATGAATACATAAAATACTTACAGTAACTACATGAATACATAAAATACTTACAGTAACTACATGAATACATAAAATACATACACACAAAGAGCTATTACCAGGGTGATAGGAGTGTCTCTTTAAATGAACATCAGAACAGAAATCTAAGGGGGTGCGCAGGAGACGGATCGACAGGCTGGGAACTCATCCTCGGTAATGAGTGTGTTGCTCCAGTCTGTCACGGTGAGAAAAGAGTTGACAAGTGGCAAAGCTCTCGTTTTACTGTTCCGCCCATGTTCCAACTCTCAACTACGGTCATGAGGTTTGGATCATGACCGAAAGAACGAGATCCTGGATACAAATGGCTGAAGTGAGCTTTCTTCATATGGTGACCAGGTTTAGCCTTGGAGATCGGGTGACGAGCTCCATCACTCGTGTTGCGCTTGCAGTAGAAAGGAGTCAGTTGAAGTGGTTCAGGCATTTGGAGGTTTTCTGGGCATGTCCCACTGGGAAGAGGAACTGACCCAAAACTGGAGGGATTGTTTGGTCTGGGGATGCCTCGGGAGCAGACTTTGTCACAGAGGAGAGGGCTGACCTGTTGCCTCTGCCACGCCACTAAGGATAAGCAGTAGAAAATGGAGATCATAACAGAAATCCCCAACAAAGTCAGCAAGTGCTGATTTAAGTCAAATATTTATTTTTGCTTTGCTCAGCATCAATGGTATGTCTTTGAGTACATTTGTATTCAAGGCTGACAGAACACATCGGGCGTAATGATCAGAGTCGGTGACAGCTGAGCAAGGCTTGCTGCCGTAGTGACAGTGTCACCTTCTCACATCTTTTCATAGAAGTGCTCTCTCTGATCTCTTAAGCCTTCCACAAGTCTTTGCTAATAGTTTGGCTTTTTTTCCTACTTTGATGGTATTTGCCCTAAAGGTACTTTCCGGTTGTGAGAAAAGTTACTTCATCGGTCTGTCTGCGCAGATTTTATCCCACACTCTTACTAATTTCTAGTAATTGTTCATGAATTTTCTCCAGGTTTGTGATTGTTTTTAAAGGAAACTTTTAATTTCTCGTATGGACACAGTTTGCGATGGTCTTAATTTCTTATTGCAGCTTCCTCTGTGGTTGTGTCTTAGTCTGTTTATTGTTTTGCCCTCGCCTCTGGACTCTCGTCCGCTCCCTCGTTCAAAAAGAGATTTGTGGTTAACGGCATCTTGACATATTATCACACGTCCAGAAACCCCTTCTCAGTCACAATTAGATCTCGGCAGCCGCTTCGCTTGCATCCAAAGCTGTCAGAAACTCTGGCCACTTAGTGAAGGGGTAGATTTGAAAGATGTAGCACCTGCCCCCCTCCCTGTTTCTGCTCCACACGGCTGGGGGGAGACGGGGTCTGTTATTCCTCATAATTGCTGGTTGTCAGAAACCATTAGTGTAGGAGTTCTTCAGCAGTGGTACACTAGCAGGCCAGGGAGTCAGCTGGGAGGAAAGAGGTAGGCTGGCAGAGCACAGATGGATTGAAAACAAGGCATGTGTGCCACCCGCTGTCACTCCACCCTTTGAGCCAGCTCTCCTTGTGGGGCTTCTTTTTTTTTTTTTTTAAACCATCCACACTGACCTGTTGAGATCGGGGTACCCAGTTGAGAGACAAAATTATATGTTTGGATCCATCAGCACCAGCTGGCCTGCTTTTCTCGTGCCCACCCTCTCTTTGCGTTTTGCTGCACGAGAGCCCCTGCAGCTCTTTTTTAAATAATTTATTTCTAATTTATTTTTTTTCCCACAGCGCTGGCGTGAGATTGACAGGTGCTCATGCATAAAGTACATCCAGACTTTTTAAATGCCATTCTGCTAGATTAGTACTTTCTGCTTGAGGGAGCAAATATTTTAAGTCAATTTTCCACGTCCGATGAGTGTGCTCATATTTTGACCGAGTGATAATAAATCAGCTAGCAGAGCCTGACCAGATGGCCAGTTACGGATGGCTGAGTGCTGATTTAGCTGTTTGTTTGTTTTTTTACTTTGTTTTGCAATCTAACTTTTTCTTTACACTTTGTGGTATTTTAGCCACTCGTATAAAAACATTCGGCTTTTTCAACAGATCTGCGCTATGACTTTTGGAGCTTTTAAAATCTTCAGCCTGCTTGTTCTAATTTAGTCTGCTTATGCTAGTTTGAGTTTTTAGCTGATGTTCTGCAGCTTTTAACTTTTAGCTAGCTACTTTTAATTTTTAGCTAGTCTTTTGCTACTTTTTGCTTTTGACTATCATTTTGATATCCTGATGCATGCTCAATAATCCAGGTAGAAAAATCTAAAAAAAAGTTAAATCTGGTCCTCTGGACATTCAAAAAAAAAAAAAAAAACCATCAGAACATTTGCTTTGTTTTTTTTTTTGAATGTCCAGAGGACCAGATGTAACTTTTTTAGATATCATTTTGATAGATTTAGCTTTAGCTAGTGTTATGCAGTATGTAGCGTTTAGTCATCCTTTCGTAATTTTTATCTTTCTAGACTTTTACCATCTTTAATTTTTTGCTAGCCTTTCATTACTTGTAGCTTTTTTCTACAGTTTTGTTATTTTAGCTAATGTTTCTCCATATTTAGATAACATTTAGCTGCTTTTGGCTTTGTGCTAGCATCTTGATTCTCTTAACTGAGTTTTTGTTACACCAAAAGTTCATGCTCAATAATCCAGGTACAAATCCAGCAGTGTTCAGTCAGGTCATCTGGACAGTTTCTTTTTTTTTTATTTTTTTCTGAGACGTCTCAGGGATGAAGGAAAAAAAAAACGGTCCAGATGACCTGACGGAACATTGTTAGCCTTTTGTCACTTAGCTAAAGTTTTGCTACTTTTTAATTGGTGTCTTCCGCAGAGCTTTTAGCTAGGAGTTTGCTTTATTTAGCCTTAATTAACATTTTGATTCTTTTTGTTTTTTGTTGCTGTTCAGCTTTTTTGTTTTATATATTTTTTTAGCTATGATCTGCTTCTTTTAGCTAATGTTTTGCTTTTTACTCGAGCTAGTGTTCTGTTTATTTTAGCTAGTGTTTTGATTTTTTTACTCTTTTAGCTAGTGTTCTGCTTGTTTTAGCTTTTAGCTATTGTTTTTCTTTTTTACTCTTTAGCTAGTGTTCTGCTTGTTTTAGATTTTAGCTATTGTTTTCCTTTTTTAAGTCTAGCTAGTGTTTTACCTATTTAAGCTATTTTGTTTTTCATTCATTAGCTAGTGTTCTGCTTTTTTAGCTTTTAGCTATTGTTTAGCTTATTCTAACCTTTTGCTTGTATTCTGCGTGTTTTAGTTTTACCTAGTGTTTTGCTTTTATGCCCTTTAGCTAGTGTTCCGCTTATTTTAGGTATTGCTTTGCTTATTCTAGCCTTAAGCTAGCATTTTGCTTGTTTTAGCTTTTACCTAGTATTTTGATTTTTTTTTAACTTTAGCCAGTTTTCTGCTCATTTTAGCTTTAATTGGCCTTTTGCTTCTTTTTGTTTTACCTAGTGTTTTATGTCATTAAACTTTTAGTTGGTTTTCTACTTCTTTTAACATTAACAACTCAAATTGATCATCAAGTTTCAGTCAAGTCTTTTTGCAGATTAACTTTGTATTTTCACAGAAAAGACCATTTCTCTTGTCCTGTTTGTTTGTTTTTGTATCTAGAACGTGATTTTTCCCGGTGCTGGAGATGTGGGAATCAGCGAGTACAAGTCTGTCATCTACTACCAAGTGAAGCAGGCGCGGTGGTTTGAAACAATAAAGGTGTGTTTTTCTGCTCATCTTCAGATCAATACAGTTTCTTTCTTTCTTTTTTCTAGTAGCACAAGTACATTCTCCAATACATTAGCTATTATAGTTTATCTTACCGGCAGTATTTGGAAGCAGCGTCTGTGGAGGGTGCTAAATATTGACCCAATATAAAAAGATTCAGAGATACTTCAAGCTGGGCCAATCTGTCAGTATAAAAAAAGAAGTAAACACTTTAATTTTATCTTGTGATATTTGCACAGCTGCTGCTGATGTTCTCACTCAGTAGGTGTTTGATTAGAAATACGTCGAGACCTCCTGAATATTTCACACTCACAGACAAAGAAGGGCAATGCAAAGAAAAGAAAATCCTTGAATTTTATTTGAAACTTCTGAAGCTACAGTGAAATAAATGTGGTGGTACATGCATGCGAAATGTCTTGTCCATGACATGTAAAGTCCCTAAATAAAAACAAACTAGAGAAATTGCATTTCCTGCGAAAATGCAACGTGAATGCTTATTGTAGAAGAACTTGCTGAAAAACAGCTGAAATTATAGGGAAAAAAACATGCTGAAATGTACCTGAAATGGAATAAACAAGCCTAAATTAGCAGAATAAATCAGAACAGATATTTTCTGAATTAGGTTTAAATAAGCAGAAATGACAAGAAAATTTTGGAAATTAGCTAAAAAAAAGGCTGAAATTAGCAAAAAATACTTGAAAAGTAGCTGAAAATGCATAAAGAAGTTTAAACTAACAGAAGGAAGTGGAATAAGCTGAAAAGAGCTAAAAATTGTGGAATTAGCTGATATATCTAAAATTAGCATAATACTGGTAAATAGTAGCTGAAAAAGCAGAACAAGCTGAAATAGCAGAAATAAATTAATTATGCTGAAAGAAGCAGAAATTACCACAAAAAACTTGAATTTATCAGAAAACAGCTGAAATTAGCCAAAAAATTAGCTAAAAAGCTGAAAAAATAGAACAAGCTTAAATTAACAGAAGAAAGCAAAAATAATATGTTTTTCCAATAGGCTGAAAGAAGCAAAAATGAAAATTATCTCAAAAAAGCCGAAATTGGCAAAAAATAACAAAAAAACAGCCAAAAAGTAACTACAAAAGTATAAAGAAGCTTAAATTACCAGGACATTTTTGCTGAATTAGGCTGAAAAAAGTTAAAATGAATGCTGAAAACATCGAATTAACTGAAAAAAGTTAAAATTAGCATAAAAACAGCTAATTAGTAGCTGAAATACTAGAACAAGCTGAAACGTGCAGAAATAAGCTGACAGGAGCATAACAAGCTGAAATTAGCAGAAGTTTAATGTTTAGCACATGTTGTCCTGTGTATGAATCTCATTGTTCCTTATCTCAGGTTGCTATTCCCATCGAAGACGTGAACCGGAGCCATTTGCGATTCACCTTCCGCCACCGTTCATCTCAGGACTGTGAGTATGAATGTCTGCGTGTGAATAATCAGTTTTCCTGATGTCCAGGTGTACAACTGGCTGATAATGAGCCTACAAAAGTAATAAAAGATGATAAATACTCAAATTTGATCACATTAGTCAGAGGTATCATTTTGCTTCTGAATGAGTTAATAGAGTGGCTCGTCAGAGGCTGGTTGGGATCTGAAGAAATGTTCTTTTTTAATTTGGACCAATGATTAGTTGAATGCAACTCTCTCTACCTTTTAGTTATAAAGGCTAGAAAATAGACTGCCATGTCGTCCTTCTTCCACATAATAAGGCTTTTCGTCCAATAGCAGAAAGAGTGCTGCAGATGAGGTTTTGGGTACATTAAAGGCGATTTGACAGATTAGGGAGAGGGTCCCTTATCTCCAGCCTCTGTCGTCAACTTGCTGCATGCAGGTGGTTTGGAGGAAATTGCCAGGTCTCAGAGCTCTGTGCTGGTTTATAATCCATTTGGAGAGCCTTCTTGTCATGCTTGACACTTTGTTTCTGTGGGGACTAATGCTGTTAGGAGCCTTGCTTTTGAAACTCTGTGAGCCGCTGTTATCTGGCCGTAATGGTTTACTTTAGAAACTCACCTCAGGTGACTCTGGGTCTGCAGGGGATGCTACTAAACTTTAAACCTTTCACTGATAACTCACACTAGAAGCATTTTATGAGTCATGTCCTTACATTTTACTGTCACAAATAAACGCTGGATCAAGTGATTGCTGACAAGACTGAAAAACTTGAATTTATCTGAAAACGGCTGAAATGAGCTAAAACATGCTTTAAAGGTAGGTGAAAAGGTAGAAGAAGCTTAAATTAGCAGAAGAAATTAGAAATAACACATTTGCCCAATTTGGCTAAAAGAAGCAGAAATGAGCACAAAAAACGTGGAAATTATCTGAAAAAAGCTGAAATTCGCCAAAGAAACAGATGAACAGTAGCTAAAAATTCAGAAATAAGCTTGAATTACCAGAAGTGGAGAGACTAGATTTTTTGCTCAATTAGGCTGGAAAAAGTTGAGATTGCACATTTGCAATTAGCAGAAACAGCTAAAATTAGCATAAAACAGCTAAATGGTAGCAGAAAACGCTGAAACTTGCATAAATAAGCTGAAAGGAGCACAATAAGCTGAAATTAGCAGAAAGAAGTTAGAAGAAGCACAAAAATGTTGTAGTTAACAGAAATAATCTGAAAGGAGCACAAAACAGCTGAAAAAAATAGCTGAAAGTAGCTAAAAAAAAAGTTTTAATTTGCATAAGAAAGCTGAAAGAAGCTGAATCTGAACAAAACGTACAAGGAGCAGTAAAAGGTAGGCCTGTCACGATAAACAAATCAGTTAATTGCATGATAAATTAAAATGATCAACCTCATTTTCATTTATTGACTTATCGTTTCTTCGTGTCTCTCTCTTTCTACTGAAGACACCGGATGACAAAAGGCTCTGGTGCTCTTCACTGACCCCTCTCTTTCTCATGTCTCTTTAAAATCCATTTTAACTGTCCAAAGTCGCGTTTTTGGATCGTTAAAAGCAGCTAAGCTGAGAAGCTAAGCTAACAGGCTGACCACAGGGAAAAAAAACCTCTGTCTTGTCCAAGCTCCAAAATTCACAATTGAAACTCGTGCCTTCGTGTAAAAAATTTTTTCTGCAAAAAGAAGCTGAGAACTTTTTTACAGATTTTTTAAATTAAAAAGCGTTGTGTGAAAAATGCTATGCTAAAGAGCTCAAACCACACCGAGCATCCACCATTTTGAGAACCGAAGAGGCCTCTCTCCCATTTTTCTTAGAGACACGCTGCTCACTCCCTCACTATCCATCCTTCAGTTAAAACAGTCTTATACTGCCATTTGGTGGTCGAAAAAAGGTACTACACGTAAAACAAATAAACTGTTCTTCTCAAATTTGACAATGATTGCTAATTATTGTCAAATTTCAAACAATAATAATGTTTATCGCAATAATTTCTGATACAATTAATCGCCCAGCAAAATGTATTATTGTGACAGACCTAGTAAAAGGTGGTAAACAGATAAAATGAGCTCAGTTCATTTTCTATAAGAAAAAAGCAGCAGAAGAGGCTAAATATTTCAAAAAGCTAAAGTTGCACCAATACCAAAAGTCATTGCACCCTTCTCCTGAATGAGCTGAACGTTTTGAGTTATGATTTGTTGAAACAGCACAAAAATTGCGGAACGAGAAAGATGCCGAAAAACGTACAGAAGAAAAATGGATCACAATAGTGTGGATGCTTCATAAACATTCACACTATTACCTTTGCATTAAAGTTACCATCACAAACACAAAATCACTCGTTCTCTGAGCACTGACTTCCTTCTATGAAATATAAAACGGAGAGGTTTCCTTCTCAGAGCAAAGCTGCTCTAAGGTCTGCCAGGTATTTGAAACGTCTTGCCTCTGCTGTCATCCTCCTGCGCTCCTCCTGCTTCATCCACTCTCCTCCAAGCAAAAGCTGAACCTTTTGTAGAAACACAGAGTGACAGAGCTGCTCCTCAGGTCCTCTATCAGAGCTCGTGTGCTCCATATCTTGCCCCCCCTTGGTGGGGAATTAGGCCATTCTGCTTTTACCCGCTGCCTCAGACTACCACCACCCCAGCACTGTCAGGCCTCATCAGACAGATGGCTGCTATCCCATACCATGTCTTGAATGTAGAAAACAAAACCGAAAGCTTACCTGCACCATCTTTTCACTTCTTTTTTCCCCCATCATCACTACCTGCTGAGCAGGGCTTTAAAATGCAGCACAGTAAACTTGACAAAGATTTGAAGTGACAACCCACCTGATAGGTGAAAGTCGGCACAAACTACTCTGATTAGCTCTCTCGTCAGCATGAACTTTCCCCCCTTAAATTCAGAGTTTTCAGCTCTTTGCTCTCCTTAGGAAGTCGCCATTCCAACAGGTAATGCTGGGTGGCATGTGTGCAATGTTTTCCCCTCCACTCGTTTCTCACAGTCCAGCAGTTATTCACCGGCGAGGTTGCAGACAGCAAACCAATGAGGGGTTTATGCAGATCCAACGCAAGACGTACTTCAATGAATCACATCTGTCTGCACGTAAATTTGAGCTTGTTGATCCCCAGGGATGATATGCGGCCCTATCCAAATGCTTGCATAGAGGACAAAATCATAACTCTCTTCCTAGTTGGCGCGTCACATGGTGCACTCACACGTGTGTGTATGCGAGCGACACATACCTTTCCTTCATTCTCGTGGGATCATCTTAACGGTTCACAGCTGCAGCTCTCTGATCAATGGCTAGTGTTTATTCATGTGCCAAGAGAAGATCACCCCTAGATACTTCAAGCCAAACCTGTTGCTTCAGTGGTATTTATGGGGCTTGGTGAGGATTTTAAGAGCTGTATATTTCATATATTATGTGCACCCGTCACTTTTAGTTCTTTCACAAATATTGATACGTGGTGTTAATCAGCTTCATGAATACTAGGGCTCGGGCAACATCAAATATTGACCGGTGGGATACATAGTCTGGTTTTTTTGCTTGTCGAAGGTGGGGCGTATTATGGTATTGTCTGTCCATCCATACGTTTGTACGCTCTAAAGTCAAGGTCACAAATCAAGATCAAAGGTTATACAAGGTCTTTGCTTGTCCTGGCCATTGCTGTATACTTTGTACAGCAGTCCCTCGTTTATCGCAGGGGATCCCTGAAGCCCCGCGAAAAGTCTAAAACTCAAGTATGACTAGTAGTACAAGTATTAAGTAGCTGTTTATTTTAGTATAAAAAAAATAAAAGTAAGTATATATATATATTTGGCGGGAGTGGTGGCGCAGAGGTTAGAGAGGTGGGCCTGTGATCCGAAGATCGCTGGTTCACGCCCCGGCTCCGACAACATCAAAATTGTGGGTGGGGTAGGTGAAGCACCCACACTTGCAGTTTCACAAACAGACAGAGAGGCAAAGCAAAGCGGAGAGGGAGGGGAAACGTGTCCGATCTCGTCGGCAAGAGCAAGTGGTGAAGTGAACATATAATCTCAACCCAGAAAGGCCGCCAATCAGAATTTTGACCAGCGACCTTCTCGCTGAGAGGCGCCAGCTCTACCAACTGTGCCACCGTGCTGCCCCAAAAAGAACCAAGAAAAGGAAAAAACATCACAAAAAAACTATTGTAGTGTTTAAAACTACTTCTTTATTTCTCTACATTTGAAGCAAGAACTGGTATGATTCAACCTAGATATAAAATTTATGAATAAGTAAATAAAAAACATAACTTAGCTGTGCCTCGTAGTTAAAATGTGCAACGACCACACATACTAATAAAAAGAACACTTTATTTTAAACGCATAAAAAAGTGATTTTCGCCACAGAGAGTTCGTCTTCTCAGATCAACTAGAGGAGTTTATCAATGATGCTCCACTCCTGTTTTACTGTCAGCACATTATTGATCAAACTCATACAAGTTTTTAAACACAGGCTACCTGACAAATTAAACCATTTATTTTATTTTCATTGCCACGATCAGTGAAAGCTCTGGAAGGTCATTTGAGTCGCGGACCTTCCGTAACCCATGTGGCTCTGCGCCAAAGCTCACTGGGACAAAAAAAAAAGTTGTTTATGTTGTCCTGCAAGTTCCAAATTTAAAATATAATGTGTGCTGAGACAATGAGGGCATTATTTTTTTATATAACTATGTATGTTGGTGCCATAAAGCACCAATACCAATGTATTTCTCATTAAATTTTTTGAGAAACTCCTTAGTCTAAAACAAAGTTATCCCAAATTAGTGACTTTGCACTCTTTTTGTCTGCAAACGACCTTGGTCAACAACTGTACAGATGACAGGGATTGCCTGGCCCTCTAAAATAAAAAAAAAAAGGAAAGGAAAAGTCAACACACCTGCAAATTAAATTACCAATTGGTTGGTTTTGGCCTGAAAGTGGCTGACAATGAAAATTTTAAACTTTAAGCTTATTGCCCAATCTTGTTTGTTGGCGGTGGGGATGTGGGGAAGTAGTTTATGCACAAATAAAAACCATAGCATTAATAAAAACCTAAGAACATTTGGCAGCAGCAGATTGTTTTGCCCACTCAGGAGCTGACTCGGAGGCTGTAGTGCTGAGAAGATCTTTTTTATCAGTCTGCTGCTTTATGACTTGTTGTAAAATCAGCAATCTTGGATGTTTTTATTTTTTACAGTGGAATCTGCTTTCTTGGACATTCTGTGACTGTGTGTGCACACTGTTCATTTAAGCAAGCTGCCCTCACGTGAATGAGATTTGCTTTGTTAGTTTACAAATGAGCCTCAATATGAAAAGCCTATGCCTTTGTGCCACATCATCATTATCTCCCCTGGTTTTCTGTTTCCTCATGTGTTTGATTTCATCCTCCCACAGCCAGAGATAAATCAGAGAAGGTATTCGCCTCGTCTTTTGTCAAACTGATGCGGTATGATGGGACCACTCTGAGGGACGGCGACCATGATCTCATTGTCTACAAGGTAAATGTGGAAAATCTCCCTAGTTGTTTGCTTTGGGTTTGTTTTGGTGTCTGCTACTGGCTGCCTGTCAGTGTGGGCAACCTTACTGCTCATTAACTTAAAGGAATTTAATAAAATGTATATGGAAAATCTCTTGCATATTGATCATCAAGGCTACTGACATCAAAAGAGTAAAAGCCTTTTCTGCAGTGGTCCCCAACACTGGTCCTCAAGGAACACCATCTTGCATGTTTGAGTTGTTTCCCTGCCCCAACACACCTGATTCAATTATTTAATTACTTCCTAAAGTTCTGCAGAAGCCTGTTAATCACCCATTCAACTCAGGTGTGTCAAAGCAGGGAAACAACTAAAACATGCAGGATGGTGTTCCTCAAGGACTAGTGTTGGGAACCCTTGCTTTACTGCAAATTAAGCATCTGATTTGGATATCTACCGATAAACTAAGCACATTTTATCTTCAAAACCCAGGCAGAAGCAAAGAAGCTGGAAGACTCGTCTCTCTACCTAAACGTCCCTTCCACCAAGATGGAGCTGGAAGAGAAGGGCTTCTCTGTCACTGGGAAAAACACCCAGAATCTGGGGAACTGCACCATCAGCAGGGACTCCTTTCAGATCTCCACTCTGGTCTGCTCCACTAAACTTACACAAAACGGTAAAGGACAAGCTTTGATGGATTTCACGCTCTTGTCTACAAGCAATAACTAAAAATATAAGTAAAAACTAGTTTAATGATCCAAGTAACCAAAGAGAAATCACGTGAACAGAACCTGTAGCTGTGTGTTCTTGTTTTAGTTTAGCCCACACATGCTGTTAATTCCAGCAGTATGCAAGTGTGTTGTTATGGACTTATCCATAACATTTAATATTCATTCCATAACATATAAAAGCTTTGACAAGCACGTTTCATTGTGTCTTATCCAGGTAAACCCAACATTTAGAAGCTTTGGGCCACAGTCTTTAACTTTTACAAACCGTTGTATGTCCTGTGAAGCACGGTTTGACATTTCTAACAATGGAAGTCCAGAGATTCAGTCGGATTCCAACTGGTGTTTTTTTTTTTTTCCACTTTTTCCACTAATTTAGTTTCCTCAACTATTATATCATTCAATCTCATTAGATTCATGTCATTTTTGCTGATTAATCTCCAGCTTTACTCTGTTTACTGTTGTCAGTCTGGCAGTATTTTTTTTCCTTAGTATTCTCCAGGGTTCTGAGAAATTCTACGCTTACTAAGCTAAGGAAATCCTCATCTCTGCCCTTTAGCTCATGGATTAAGCATTGTGGCATCTTCTGTTCCTGCCAGCTTGTAGACATGTTTATAGATCCCTGCAGGCATCAGTATAAACCCTGTTAGACGTGCTGGCATTTCTAGGGTGTGTTCATAACACTGTGGTTGTTATTGTGTGAGAAGCTGTTAGACTCTGTCGAAGTGGTCAAACTTTGCCTCTGATTTCTTTATTTTAAGCAGATTCATGCTAAGTATCTGCTTGAGTGCATGACGGTGAGTCTTGAGTATTTCTCACTGCCAAAGGCGAAAGGCGATAATGTTTTTGCCAGTGTCTGTGTGAATGTGTGTTCCTTTGACTGTACTCTTACCTCAGCGACCACTGATCAGATTTTAATGAAACTCAGAAAGTAATAACTGGATTTACATCTACAACTAATTAACATTTGGAGTCAAACATTCAAGAAAGCCGCCACAGCTAACTGACCTTAAACAACACAAAACAGCTCTATTTCAGCTAATTTTACTAATACATAGCTTAAATTTTGTGTATCTGTAGCTGAGTCTGATCCCTAACATATACACGGAGTACAGACTGTTTTTAAAACTTTACTAGTGTTCAGTAGTCCCTCGGTTATCGCGGGGGATCCGTACCCTGAAGCCCCGCGATACATGAAAAACTGAAGTAGGAATAGTAGTACAAGTAGTAAATAGTAGTTTATTTTAGTATTTACAATGTTTCTAAACTCTAAACGCTCTAAAAGAGCACAGCATGTCATGATTTCAGCTCTCTGCCTCCAGCTGCACTCTCGGCCACGCCCACTTCTTCGCTCTGCACATAGATCAGCTGATCAGCTGCAGGAAATAGCTTCTCTCACAGCTGTGGGCTGCGCACAGGTGCTAAATCATTTTAAATAATTTATTTTAAATTTAAAATATCCATGCCGATCGTGGGGCTCATCCATCAATCAGCCAATTGTGTGTCATGTCCAATCTTACTTTGAAAAACCGCGATAGAGCGAGTCCGCGAGAAACGAACTGCGAAGTAGCGAGTGACTACTATAATTGTTGCTGTCAACCTTGTCTGTCTGCTAGCAAAATATCTCATGAGCATCTGGACAGACTTTAATGAAACCTTCTGAAAGTACTTATGAAATATACAACTAAAGTTTATTCATATCTGGAGTTAACCTAGTTCAATATGACCTCCACATCAGATTGACCTTAACCAACTCAAAAACGGCTTTAACTGAATCAAAAGTTTTTATGTTGAGGTAACTTTTTGTTTGGTTGTAGCAGATTTGTGTCACCAACATATACTTTAAGCACTAACACGGCTCACAAGAGCTCACAATATCGCATGAGATCAAACTTAATGTAATTTTCAAGGTTTGACCGTTATAGCTATAACTCTGTCTCTTCTCATCATAAGATGATCTTAGTTAAAAATAAAAAAACTTGCCTTTCTTCAAGGAATGCTTGGCTTGGCCTTTAATTTTTTTATTTTTTAGAAAATATGTTCCCACATCCTTCTTGTTTCATTCGAAAATTTTCTCTGCTGGTGTTCATATTAATGCCGGGGCCTTTTGTAACTTTGCCACACATACCTGCTCTCTAATGAAGTCACAAGTGGAATAAATAAAAAACAATTTCTTCCATTGTTACTCTCCTGCATGTTGTAGCGACATCATGCAACAGAGATTCATGAAGTCTCAGTAATGAGCTCACTTTGGACCTTAGAATGGGCTTTTGTTAGAGCCCTGACACAAGGGAAACATTTGGTTGTGAAGGTGCTTCTTAACATTGTCTGACTGTGAGGGGGTGTTCCATGTTGATGCAGTAACATTTCTGTTGGGACTTGTTAAGGTTAGTCTGTGGTAGAAGTTGTCATTTGAACACAGTTGACTGAGTGCAGTCCTACTCTGCTTGGGTTTATTAATGCCGATGAAGGAGCAGGCACAGTTACAGTTACAGAAGGAAAACCTTCCCAGGCAGATAAATACATTTTATATTTTAAATTCTTATCTCAGCTCTAATATAGATTTGTAGAGCACACTATCCAAGTAGACACCCAATTAGCACTATTTCCCAACAATTTGTTCCACCAGAGCCTCTTGAGCGCTTTTCAGACATGAAACAGTAATGGCTTCATCAACCTGTTGACTTTTCTATAATTGTGACAAGGGTTAGTTATTGTTAAAGTATTATTTGCTCTTTAGCTCGATTCTCACTTTCACCACTTTTAACATAGCCAGTGTGTGAGCAGTTAATGATGAATTTAAAAAGTTTAGTGTGATTAAATAAACAATTCAAAAGCAAGTGTTCCCCTTATCAACGTACAAGTTAGTGTCATTGAGCCTTGAGGACTCATTTACAAGAGACTTGTTTTAAGCAAAGAACACAGATGAGGTACAAACAACAATAGACAACCATCTAAAAAAGCATATAAAATGAAAAGTAAATAGACTAAATTATATAAAAATTAAACAAAAAAAAAAAACAGCAACATTATAAAGTGATAAATCCCTTAGAGAGGTCAAAGCTGACAACTTCAGATCTTTTTGCAAGGTGTGCCAGGTTACAGGAGCATTGTAAAAGAAAGCCCTTTTGCCAAGTTCAGTCCGCACTGAGGGTACACTGCAGGTAATTATGTCTTGATAGTGCACGCTCTATCAGAATAAGCTTTATTATCATTGCGCCGAGATACAACGAGAATATGTCTGTACAGTCGTACAAAAGATGGACAGAGTTTACATAGCTGCTGTCATAAGCACGGCCTTCTTATCCTTTTCAGAATAAATTTTTAGAACACGATTTAAGACATCAAAAAATTCTCCCAGCAGCACATTTATGAACACATTACATATGCATTTGACAACGAGGCGGTCCATGAAGCACTAACAGATAGTCCATTGTCCTGATAAGATGATGGTCAGCCGGCACAGTTCATTTATACAGGTAGTCCCTTTGAGTCACGAGGACCCGCCCCCCAAGAGAGACGTGCATTGGGCAGCTATGTGAGCGCTCGGGTGTGACGAGGCTAAATGTTTTGGTGGCATGAAGCTTGTTAGCACATAAAAAAAAATCCATTAATTTGCCGTATTACTGTATAAGCCGCGGTGTTCAAAGTGTGTAAAAAATTTGTGGCTTGTACTCAAGAAATTCCGGCATGCCCATGCAATAATTGTCAAATCTCATGAGATGTATTGACACTCAGAATGTGTCCTGCGCTTGATTTTTTTCAGCTACTACCACCACAAGTTTAATTTAGTGCCGTATATAGAAAACTGAGCTGTAGCCATATTTGTTTGCAGCGATTGCTTAGTTCAGGTTAACTTCCAAGTTTAATTTTCATTCAGCCTTTATTTAGACAGGTAAATCCCATTGAGCCTCGAGGACTCATTTACAAGAGTTAATCAGATGTAGATGTACATCCAATGAATGCTTTTGAGAGTTTCATTAAAATGTATTCACTGGTTTGTGAGATATTTTGATAATGCTACACATAAATGAATACACAGACCGGGGCAAAAAACATTATTGCCTTTCGCAATAGCAATAAAAATGGGTTTTGCTGGCTCTTGTGTGTCTATAAAGGGATAAATCATCTGTGCCTGAGTTCAAACAACTAGTAAAATCCAGGAAGAATCTCAATTCATTGTCAATCACTGCCACTTACACAGTTGCCATGGTTACTAGCTTTAAAGTGTATGCACCTTGGAGGTGGAGAAGAAGCGCAGGTGTGACAGAGCTATGTCTGCAAGTTGCATTGGTTTAATTTGTAGAGCTGAGTCCATTTGATCAAATTAAGAAGAACGTAGGTAACATAAATGTTTATCGTTCTTATCTTACACATCTTGCTGCACCTAGGCTATAAAAAAATCATAAAATCGAAAGTTTGGACACCTTGACATTTAGTGTTTTAGTCTGTATATTTTCTCTTAATAGCAGATTTTTGTATTTGCATTGATCTCACTAGTTGCGACCTTTGAGGAAAAGAAACTCTGTTGCTCATTTAAAAAAATAAATAAATAAATTGGGACCTGTATTCCATAGTTAGACGTTTCCGATCCATGTAGCTTTCTCAATTAAAAAACTAGAATGCGGAGTTCCAAGCTTATTAAACTGCATGGATGCTTAACCTACGAAACGTTTCATCTAAGAATCTGTCCAGAGAACCTGGCTCAACCTTGTTCAATTTGTTACGTAACCTAGATTCATAAGCAGAATAAAATTCACGCCCCTAACAATGGAGAGATATTAGGATCTTTGTTTACCTGGCTCACAAGAGAGATGATTTGGTCACATGCATGAAGGTGTTAATTAGCGTAATTGCTGCATACTAGCTCCTCTGTGTAAAGTTTTCTTCTCGTTTGGCTTCCTTTACGCCCCTCTTAAACCATCTGTCTTCTCTGTCCAAGATATAA